CTGTAACGCCAATGGTCAACTCCTACTGGGTCTCTGTGCGGAACATGAACTTGTTGTGACCAACACTATTTTCAGACTCCTGAACCGACAGAAGACAACATGGAGGCACCCCCGGTCCAAACACTGGCACATTCTGGACGATGTCCTAACCAGAGCCAGAGACAGGGGAGACGTCCGCATCACCCGATCCATGCCAGGAGCGAATGACTGCTGGACGGATCACAGGCTCCTGATCTCCAGACTATCTTCGAGAACCCTTCGACCACCTAGAAGGACACCGGACAGCGTACCACACCGACGCTTTGACTGTAGCAATCTCCGTATCCCAAAGCTGGCACAGAATTTTAGAGAAGCCTGCGAACGCCACCTTGCAGACCCAGTGGATCAGTCCTCTGTGGAGCACCACTGTACCACCCTCAGAGACGCCATGACCTGTGTAGCGGAGGAAACCATCGGCTACTCAAACAAGACTGGTTCGATGAGAGTTACGGGTACATCTCGCCTCTCATTGAAACTAAACATCAGACACGTCTGACTATGGAGAACGAGCCTACAGCTACCAATAAACGTGCTCATAAACAAGCCGTAGCTAACTGCCAAAGAGGCATACGATAAGCCCAGAACACCTGGTGGCAAAGAAAAGCAGCAGAAATACAAAGCTATGCTGACCAACGAGACCTGCGCAGCTTTTATGCGGCAACCAAGGAAATTTTTGGTCCCACACGCTCATCAGTGGGCGGACTAAAGGACGTGGACGGGGCTACAACCATCACCGACAGCGAGGGTATTCTGGCAAGGTGGAGGTCTCACTTTGAGAACCTCCTCAACGACCAGGTCAACATGCCAGATGATCTCCTGCAAATGACCCCGCAGCATCCTGTTCATCACTGGATGGCACTACCACCCTCCATCCAGGACTTCAACAAAGCCCTTAAACGCATGAGACACGGCAAAGCCCCAGGACCCGACAACATCCCACTGGAGCTCCTCACCAACAGTGGCCCTGAGATGAGGAACCGTCTCATGCTCCTTATATTGGAGATTTGAGAGACAAAGACCCTCCCCAGCGACTTCCGTGATGCAACGGACGTGACAATATTCAAAAACGGAGACCGTGAGAACTGCAACAACTACCGGGGAATATCACTGCTAAGCATCGCCAGCAAAATCTTCGCCCACATTCTCCTAGACCGTCTCCTCGTCCTCGCCGAAGATGTCCTGACAGAGTCTCAGTGTGGTTTTGACCTTCCCGCGGGACCATCAACATGATCTTCTGCGCACGGCAAATACAAGAGAAGAGCATCGAACAGCAACAGCCCGCAATGTTCATCTTTTGGGACCTGAAAAAGGCCTTCGATAAAGTGCTATGTGGGTAGTCCTTACTAGGTTTGGCTGACCACCCGACTTTGTCGCCCTGGTGCGCACTCTGCATGACGGAATGGTGGGGAGAGTATGCCACCAGAACTCCCTCTCGGACCCATTCCTGGTGGCCTGAAGCAGGAGTGTATACTGGCACCAACGTGTTTCTCTCTCTACACAGCAGCTATGCTAAATGAGATACCACCAGACACACCCTCAATTGACCTCCGTTACCGCTTGGATGGAGGAGTTTTCAACCTCGCTTGACTTCGTGCCAGATCCAAGATCACCATGTGTTCGGTACGGGACCTGCAGTACGCTGACAATGCCACCCCAGGTCAGACTGCAGAGGACCTCCAGTCACTAGCGGACGCATACAACACTGCATATGAACGATTTGGGATGCAGGTCAACACAGAAAAGACCAAATTATTAGTTCAACCACCACCCGGACTGCCGCTTCCAAACACTAACACCATTGTCAATGGCCAACCGTTGGAGCAAGTAGATCAGTTCTCGTATCTGGGGAGCATTCTGACATCAACACCCACATGCAGAAAGGAATCAGGGCAGCCCACTCTGCCTTTGGCCGACTCAACTGCCGCATATTTAAAAACCATGACGATGGCCACCAAAATCATGGTCTTCCGGGCAGTAGTCCTCTCCACCCTTTTATACGCTTGCGAAACAGACCTTATATAGAAGCGAGGTAAAAATGCTAGAACGCTTCCAGCAACTGAAACTAAGGCAAATCCATAACATCACTTGGGAGAGCTACACCACCAACACAGAAGTGCCGGACAGAGCCTCAGTGAGCAGCGTCGAGGCCACTATCAGCTACCTACGCTGGGCAGGACACGTCCACAGGAGGGATCCTTCCAGGCTCCCCAAGAAAATCCTATATGGCGAGCTGGCCATTAGGACCTGACTACGAGGAGCACCCAAAATGCGCTACAACGACCAACATAAGCTGGTCCGCGTGGGACGAAATTGCCAGGGACCGAACAACGTGGAGGAGATCAATACGCAATGGTATCGCGGACTTCAAGGAAAGGAGGGAGGAGAACGAAGAGGCAAGGCGACGAAGGAGAAGAGAGCGCTGTGAACGACCATGTCCTCCCCCTACACTCCCCGGTGAGCACTGTCCGCGACTATTCCACCAACGACTGGGTCTCGCAAGTCATGTCAAACATCAACCGTGAAGATAGGACTTAAAAAAAATTGACAGAACCCGATACTTGGGCACGATGAAATTATATATATATATAAGTATAAAATCTAATATTACGAGACATAAAAAAAAAAAACAAAAAAAAAACGGGTGAAGCAGAAAAATGTACAATAAAAGGTATTGTAAAAAAAAAAAAAAAAAAATGAAAAGGAACTAGAGAAAAAATGACAGCGAGTCCCAACAAACACTCACGTTGTTTGCACAAAGAAGGCTTGCGGGACCCGATATAAAGTTTATAGAATTTTAGATGAAAAAAAGGAGTGAGACTGGGACTGGTTCACCGTGTTGTCCCGGTCTCAAACATGCTTATTTCATCTAAAGGTTCTGGAGGCATATATATATATATATATATATATATATATATATATATATATATGTCATCCAATGTTTCATTAAATTATGAGGTCATCCCCTAAGTTCTGTCCGAATTTTGAATAACGAAAACAATTGACCAAATGTTACATTTAATTATAGATTCAGTCAAAGTATTTTCCCTGATTATCTATGACTTCCTTCCATCTATTAACAAGCTTACTAATTCCATTACTGTAAAATTCTTTTGGCTTTGATTCGAAGACCTCACAAATGTCAGTTTTTACCTCTTCCTGTTATAAAAGCTGTTTCTTCCAAATGATTCTGTAAACTACGAAACAAATGGTAGTCTGAAGGAACCATAAACCATACCCAAAACAAACACACAATTAAACTGAAAAAAATAAAATCATCCTTGATAATGGCTAGAATGATTGCCGAAAGCGCTCGGAATTATAGAACATTTGGACAGTGTCTACACACTGTGCAAAAAAAAAAAAAAAGAAAAAAGAAAGGACTTCTACGAAAACAAGAAGAAAAAATAAATGAAAAGTTTAATCGTTGTACTTTGTCTGCTGATTTTAATGAAACATGCATCCATGAAGGATTGCTGCCTAAATAGACAATATTTATATACTTATATATGTACATTTATATCAGGTCATCGCATAAGTTCTGTCCGAATTTTGAATAAAGAAAACAAGTGACCAAATGTTACATTTAATTACAGATTCAATCAACAATGTATTTTCCCTGATTATCAATGACTTCCTTTCATCTATTAACAAGCTTACTAATTCTATTACTGTAAAATTATTTTGGCTTTGATTCGAAGAACACACAAATGTCAGTTTTAACCTCTTCCTGTGTTACAAAAGCTGTTTCTTCCAAATGATTCTGTAAACTACGAAACAAATGGTAGTCTGAAGGAGCAAGATCAGGAGAATAAAGTGGATGAGGTATTTTCTCCCAACCAAGTTCTTCGATCTTTTGTGACGTGATTCTTGCTGTGTGGGGTCGCGCATTGTCCTGATGTAACATCACCTCTTTTTCCATTCACTAGAGCAGGTCTTTTTTTCTTCAAAGTTTGGTTCAAACGCTCTAATTGCTGACAGTATATTTGAGCATTAATTGTTGCATTAGGTGGTAAGAATTCAAAGTGGATTATTCCTTGGAGATCCCACCAGATTGAAAGAACTTTTTGCCCATGAAGTTCCCTTCTCGGCTGTGGCTGGGGTCCTTCCCCTTTGCCAAGCCACTGTTTACGACGATTAACATTTTGATAAAAGATCCATTTTTCGTCGCCAGTCACAAGTCTATCCAAAAAAGGTGAAACAAGTTGGTGAGAATGGAGAGAAGAGCAGCTGTCAACTCGGGATTTGAGGTTGTTTTCAGACAATTCATGAGACACCCATTTTCCAAGTTTAGGAACTTTTCCAAGTTGTTGAAGATGACGATGAACAGTTGTATGGTTTGAATTAAGAACCACTACCACTTCCTCAACTGATAAAGCAGGATTTTCTTCCAGGGCTGCTTCTTGAAGCTTTTCATCAAACTCAACTGGACATCCGGTTCGATCTTCATCTTGAAGGGTGAAATCTCCACCTCTGAATTTTGCAAATCATCTTCTGCAAGTTCTTTCATTCACACATTCCTCTCCATAAACTGAGTGAATGTTTCTAGCCGCTTCGGCTGCTAAGTTTCCTTTCTTGAACTCATAAAGAATTATGTGCCTTAAATGATTCTTGGGTTAGCATGGTTTTAATCAAAAATTTAATTTTATTGTTCTCTGAAATAAAATTTGATCAGTTTAAATGCATTTAAACATAAAAATAATGTTCAGCTCCATTAGACATTATAATATACTCTTTAAATTTCGTTCATTTTAACAAAAAGTTAAAATTCGGACAGAACTTATGGGAAGACCTGATATATAGAAAAGTTTTTTTATATTTATTTTAAATAATTTCTTTCCTTATTGTCTGATTAGCTTAATAACATTATCATTGAAAGACGAAAGGGAATCAACCTATTGATACATGTGTAAATCTAATCTAAGCTTTCGGCTTACATAAGCAAAGATGACAATTACTTTTCAATGTATCAACCAATACATGGATGAAACAATGATTGTCTGTTTTGTTGCATAAAAAAATTAAAAGCAATGACAAACTCATGTATACGAGACATTGGAAGCGTAAATCGTGTCACAGCTCGTGACATCACACATGACTACGCAAGAGCGAATACAAGTATTAAGTATGGGAAGCCGATGGTATAAACCACTGGCTTCTGTTATCAATTATAGGCATTTAAGTATATTTGCAGAGATTTCTTAGTTTATTCTGTTTAGGTTAGGTTGCAACTGTTTTATGTATATAGCTTTAAGAATTTTTAGTTTTTCTTTATTGCATCCATGTTTAAGTATAGTTGTGTTCTCAACAAGGATTTTCCAGAATTGTGTAAGCAGCCAGGCATATATCTATCTATATATAAAATCATCTGCTCTGTCAAAATAATCATTGATGGCTGGGTCATGTACATGAAATGAACGATGTTCATATACCAAAAGATATATACAAACTAGCCAGATCTGAGAGGCCATTCCTGCCCTATGTTTCAAGGACATCTTCTAGAGAAACTGAAGGTCAGAAGACAACACAGGAAGCAGAAGGAGCAATTTCTGCCTTTTGTGCTTATATTCTAGCTTTATCTTCCACACAAAGACTGGATTTGTTCTATAATGTCAAATTTGCTCAAAAGTATCCAAAGTTATAGAACAAACCTCTGTGTGTGCGTGTATATATATATATATATATATATATATATATATATATATACACACACACACACACACTAGCAGTAGAGCCCGGCGATGTAACAGTAAGAGATGGATCAAGTATCGACCATCATAAAGACTGAAAAATAAAATTGACAAAGATTATTGTTTAAGGTTGACGGACATGCATGTCTTAATTAGTTTTTTTTTTTTGCCATTGGTGAAACTTCTTTGAACAAAAAAAAATTTTCAATCGTTAATCTATCGATTGAGTTTAAATATTGAATAGAATTTTTTAAAGTATTTTTAATGTAAAAATAAAAAAAAAAGTGCAAGACAATAAGAAACACTACCTGCAAAAAAAAAGTGAAGTTTTGTTGAAATCAGTTGAAAAAACTGTAGGAAAATCGATCCCATATATAAACGAACACACACAACAACCTGGGTTTATAATAAGTAAAATCGATATGAGTTGTCCCCCCTTTCATTCTCGTAACAGTGATGCCTTTTTTATCGTGTTTTCAAATTGATTTCATTCAAAAAACAATTGTGTTTTTTCCATTTTTTATTAATAATCAGAACCACTGCAAGGTAATTTTACGTAGTCCTGTGAAGTTTTGTTGAAATCGGTTTAAAAATGTAGGAAACCGATCCAATATATAAACGAACAGACACACACACAACCTGGGTTTTATAATAAGTATGATATATATATATATATATATATATATATATATATATATATATATATATATATATATATATATATGATAGATTAAATTGTGTATTGACAAATTAACATTTTTACCATTTTTTTTTTTTTTTATTTTTTGTCCCCTTGTACTTGTCATTTTGATTACAAATCAATCATTGTCAGTTTCCTTACGCAAATAATACTTTGGTAAAAAAATTAATTTCACTGGTATGAGTGATATTTCAATTGTATCGTTTCATGTGATCTTGCTGAAATAGGTGTAAACATGCCAACAGAAGAAACAAATTTGTTGAAAAACTACCAACAATTTACATAAAGGTGAAATGTAAAAATAACATGCAGCAATTATGGAACTGTTTTGCTCCAATCTCTTCTCCCCTTGAGGCACCAAAACTTCTGTTAGGGAATATAGAATTACAAATGACTCCTCCAGCAGCTTCTCACTAACATGATGGGTGGTGGGTGGCAGTTTTCTACACAATTGTTCAACTTCAAAGCACGTCTTCTGATGATCTTTGAATAACTGATTTCAGCTCATGTACTTCATTTATATACACTTCAGTCCAGAATAAACATGATTAATTAGCTTCTCAAGAACCTCCTTGTTAAATAATCCAGATGGCCATACCATAAAGTGCTTTTCATCTTGGGCATAGATTTCCAATATTTTCATTGAAATCAATGCAAATATTCCTGAGAGAGTGTTAAATAAACAAACCCTAAATGTTACCAAAAAATCCTGTGGACTTTTGGCTTCCTCATTAATCCTGACACTTAAACATTGGCATGCAACCAAGTGGAAGGAGCTGGTCAAATGGTCAATTAACTACAACTACATCTGGAATGGGGATGAGACAATTTTTATAATTGTTTTTGTTCTATAAATATCTCATTTTAAGCAAACGTACCATTTTAAATCTTTGTATTCTTATATTGGAAACTACCACACACACAAATAACACAGGTCTGCCTCATAACCATTTAGAAAGAGCCAGGGAATTATGTATGAACCCCTACAAAACAAAGTTAAAAAGAAGACGATGAGTATCACACAAAAGGGGTGGGATATTATATGAATTTAAAAAAAAAAAAAAAAAAAAAAAGTTTATTGCATGTATATATCGCAATTAGTACT